CCTCAGAGAAATGCAACTCAAAACAACTCTGAGATACCATCTCACAGCTGTCAGAATGGCTAAAATCTAAAACACGAATGACAATCTATGCTGGAGAGGATGTGGAGAAAAAGGAACACTCCTCCATTGCTGGTGGGAGTGCAAACTTGTAAGACCACTTTGGAAATCAGTATGGCGGTTGCTCAGAAAAATGGGAATCAATCTACCTCAAGATTCAGCAATTCCTCTCTTGGGCTTATACCCAAATAATGCACATCCATACATCAAGAACATATGTTCAACCATGTTCATAGAAGTATTGTTTGTAACAGCCAGAACCTGGAAGCAACCTAGATGCCCCTCAACTGAAGAATGGATAGAGAAAATGTGGTACATTTATACAATGGAGTACTACTCAGCAGAAAAAAGCAATGGAATCTTGAAATTCGCAGGCAAATGGATGGAACTAGAAGAAACCATCCTGAGTGAGGTAACCCAGTCACAAAAAGACAAACATGGTATGTATTCACTCATATATGAATTTTAGACATAGAGCAAAGGATTGCCAGCCTACAATCCTCTTCACCAAAGAAACTAGGAAACAAGAAGAACTCTAAGGGAAAAATGCATGGACCCTAGGAATAGGATGGGGCAGGAACTCCTGAGCTAATTGGGAACATGAGGGTAGGGCAGAGGGAACTGCCAGAATGAGAGGAGGAGAAGAGGAGAGAAGGAAATGGAGGAGCAGATATATTGAGTTGGGGGAAGGAGAGAAGGATGAGAGATATAATATCAGAGGGAGCCATTATAGGTACAAGGAGAGATCTGGCACTAGGGAGATTTCCAGAGACTTACAAGGATGACACGGACTGACAACCTAGGCAATGGTGGAGAGAATAACCTAATGCCCTTCCCCTATAATGAGACTGATGTCTACTTTTTATGCCATCCTAGAGCCCTCATCCAGTGGCTGATGGAAGCAGAGGCAGACACCCACAGATGTACACTGAACTGAACTCTGGAACTTAGTTGCAGAGAGGGAGGAATGAAGATCAAAGGGGTGGGTACCAGGCTCGTGAAACCCAAGGAATCAGCTGGCCTGAACAAGGGACCCCAGACTGCTGTCTAGGAGGCCGGTACAGGACTGATCCAGACCCCTGAACATGGATGTCAATGAGGAGGCCTCGGCACTCTAAGGGACCCCTGGTAGTGGATTAGTATTTTTTCCTTGTGTAAGAAGGAACTTTGAGACCCCATCCCAGGTGAAAGGATGCACTCTGGGCCTGGACACATGGGGGAGGGCCTAGGCCCAGCCCAGGATTATGTGGTGGAGTTTGGGGAGCCCCCATTGAGGGCCCTACCCTGCCTGGGGAGTGGAGGGTGGATGGGGTTGGGGGTAGGTCTAGGGTACAGGGGAAAGGTGGGGGGAGGGGAGGGAGAGGGAGAAGGGATTGACATGTGAAACAAGCTTGTCCCTAATTTGAACTAATTAAAAATAATAAAAAAAACAAGCTACTGGTGAGGCAAAATGTATTAACAGCTTTTCTGTTAATTAACAACCACAGTTGCTGGCTTTAACTACTTGCTAATCTTCATTGTGAATTGGCAAAACAGGAATGTAAAGACATTTGCATATGTATTCAGTAACCAGCTTCTACATACAGAGCATTATTTCTTATCATTAAGCACAATAACTTTCCTTTTCTCTTGAATTACAATGGATACAGATTTTTTTTCCTAACTGGGTATAGTGCCACACACCTGTAGAACCAGCATTTCAGAAGTGAGAACAGTGGGATCAGATTAAGGTTATGCTAGGCTACAAAACAAATCTGAGACAAGCCTGTAGTACATAAAATTTTAAATTCAGCCCCATAATTTTTAACTATTATATTTATTTTGAGATAATATAATTCACTTTGAAGTATTGAAAATCAATTTTTTCATGAAAACACCATAATGTAAGGCTAAATATCTTGCTTATGGTTGGATCTCCACATTCAAAGTTTCTTTTCACTAACTGCTCCTGTCACCTCCTAGCCAACACTTCTAGATAGATATTTAGAAGGACAGATAGAAGAAATCATCAGAATGGCACATGTTGAAAGAATCAAAAAGATACTTTGAATCCAAAATGTTTTCCATAGAGTATTTTCCTAATGTAAATAATTGGTCTGATCAATTTTCAAGACAAATAGTTTGTCAACAGTGGACCATGCAAATGATCCAAAAGATCTACACAGAATAGGAGTCAGGCTAACTAGAAGAAACTTGAGGGAACACATGAAGATTTAACATATATACAAACTTCAAAAGAGGGGTTTACTTCATGTTGTGGGTAAAACAGGGCTCTACTTCATGTTATAGAAGGCAGCCTAAGCATTTTAGAAAGGCAACTGGGGCATAGGCAGTATCCCAGGTCAAAGCTGTGGCCACTGTGTGCATGCAGGTAGGACTGGTTCCCTATATGCCACAAAATTAATCAGAGATGGAACATGCTACATTTCACCTGTCCCTGAAGACCAGACCATCATTTCTA